AGTTTTAAGGGCTTCTCCTCATAACGAATGTGGTAAAGTAGAATAACTAATCATACTCCTTAGCATTGTTAAGTTAGCTGAAGAAATTCTTAGCGAAATTTTGAACATGACAAATATAATACATATTATTATTACTAACCTGTGTAGTAGTGTTTCAGATATGTATAAGAACAGGAAAAACTAAAGTATGAAGCAGGGTCAAACAAAATAAAGATTAGGCAAATCAAGCCAAATAATAGAATAATCAAGACTTGCACACCAGACGAAAACAAATACCAAACGAAGATATGCCAAGAACAATCCAAAATGCAATATAAGAAATCAGAAACAAGAGCAAAACAATACCAAGACAAAGTTGACTCAGCACCAAATAAACATCAGATGAAGCTTAATGGTCAACCACATATAGGTCAACAAAACAATCATCAGCTGTTGGATAACACAAGACGAAGAAAAATTCCAGATAGAATAAAAGTCGTTCACCCTCAAGACTGATCAGATGAGATGAACAAGTCAAAGTCTAACCCTTAGACGCAAACTCAAATTTTCATACGCAAATAAGTTAGGGTCTCTATACATAAAAAGAGGGAGCCCCAAGATAATTCAATACATCAAATGGCCAATACAACTAAAGTTGTGCATCAATCGAAGCAGTCTCTCGTGAGAAGGAGAAAAGGAGAGCCACCTTCTAAAAAAAATCTAAAACCAAAACATGCATTGCACGCATCCAAAAGCATTTCACACACTTAGAAAGTATTCTTTATCCAAGGGGGATTATTCAAAAATAAATAAATAAAATACCTACATGAATAAGCATCCAGCATTTTTTTCATCTTGACAAAAGGAAAAAGCAGCCCAAACTAGGGGCATCAATGATCATCAATCAGGAAAGCATAAACAATCAGTCATCAACGAATTGAAAGGACTCCACAACAGATGCCTGGAGAGGCATCACAATACTCACATGGCAGGGGCAACACTAGAATCCTTGTCACCCATCTACTCTTCTGCCCACTAGCACAAGGGCACCACTTACCAGCAATCCTCGTCTTCATCAAACGTCCTTGCCAAAGAAAAAGGGGCAATCAAATCACAATACCAGCAGTTAGCCTAGAGAGGCCGACATAATACTAGTCAGCCAACCTGGACAGGCCAACATAACAATACTCACCATCAACAGCCAGCCTGGAGAGGCCAGGCATAATAATACTCAACATTCAGCAGGCAGCCTAGAAAGGCCAGCCATAATAATACTCAGCATCAGTAGGCAGCCTAGAGAAGCTAGCCATAATAATACTCAGCATTCAACAGGCAGCCTAGAGAGGCCAGCCATAATAATACTCAGCATTCAGCAGGCAGGCTAGA